CACCTCTGTTAGAACCTCTGTTGGTAGCAAGATGTTGGGTGTAAATGTTTGTATAATAATAGCAAGACCGTCATTATTGCCTACAATGCAAAGTTATATTAACATACTTTCTTGCTTGTAATAAAATGCTGGCTATATATAGAAATTGCCTTATTTTCACTGGTGGCTCATTGCCCTTAGTGAACCAGAATACACAGTCCCTCTCTTCCTTCGGTGTTTCAAGCAGAGGCCTGACTTGCAGCATCTTCTTATCATGCTTATTTTTTGTTATTTTTCATTCCATTTCAATCATGTAAGACTAAAAGTTCTTGCTTTTCTTCCTGTATGATAATTTTGTTCTCTACCATGTTACCAGTACTTTAAATGCTTGTGTCAACAGCAAACCAAAACCTAGTTGTTTGGGGATTTTTTTGGTTTGGTTTTTTACCAAGGTACAAAATGGAAATTCTAAACAAAGTAGACCCTTGAGGAACAACACCACTAGTAATATAACCAAGAAATGTCATCAAAGAAAGATAAGCCAGTATAACATGACTTACATTTGGAAAGATCTGGGTTGCATTTTCATTCTGTTCTCTATTTATGTTCCAGTCATTGGCTTCTCTTGGTTGCTGTTCCCTTAGAACAGTTGTTATACTGAAGAGCGCTAAGTTCACATTAATAGGGCTTTTTTGAACACAGGTTCTACATTTCTTCTCCAGCCCTAGGCGGCTATCCCAGAAATTGTCTTATTCATTGAGAATCCTTACGCCTGAGTTTGCAATTTTGATGTATAACTGATTTTTTTCAGTATTCTGGGATGGAAATTTTTTAAGCAGCCTCATTTCATTTTAGTAATGGATGTGGTGATTTTCAGTGCTTTGTCCTTGTTCCCCTGAGGTATTCTGTCTCTGTCCTCATACACAGCATTATTCTTAAAGGAAAAAATGATGCAAAACACTAATTTAATATTTGGTCTGTCCTCCTAATTTCTACCCCTTGTTGACACCAGTTCTTCATTTCTTGCTCTTTATTTCTTGTTGAGAAACCTTTTGTTTGTCTGAGTTCCCATTTTCCTGACCTCCTGGCAGTTTTCATTTAACTTCTGCGGCCTGACCTCTACGTGCCAGCTCTCTTTGCTGATCAGTCCCTTTTTCCATTCCTTGTAGGTTCTCTGCTTTCTCTTAATATCCTGCTTTGAGGTGCATTCTCATGCAGGTAGGTCTGTAGCCCTTTCCTGTCCCTTTTTCCTTTACTTGGATAGAAAGACTCAGATAGCGTTTGATTTAAATACACTCAAATCCAATTGTATATGTGTTTCATATATCTTTGGATGAAATTTTGGGTTATGGCCCAACAGGGAAAGATGGGATTGCTCTTGAAATGTAAAGAAAACTGTTAGTTATTTTTGAGTTATGCAGCTGGTGAGGCCTGTACCCCCAGAAGGTTAAGGAAGTTTGAATTGCCTTTGGCACTTATTGTATGTTGTATAGGCTGCTGACTTCCAGATGTTTTTGGGTTTTTTTCCCTTCGTGTAAAACCATGGGAATTAAATTTTAAAAATGGCATTTAAACCACCTGAATCAGAAATAGATTTCTTTTTCTTTTTTCCTGATGATAGGTATGTTTACACAAATACAATCAGTTTTGTTAGAAGGCAAATAATTTTGGAAATTTCCTGAAATTGTTTCAAGGTTTCACTTTTTTTTTTAAAAAGGTATTCTGATGTTTCTTTTCGCTTTGTGTTGAGAGACAAACCTCATTGGCAGTTTTTCTTTTGAAAACCCAAACACATATGATGACAGTTCACTTGTCCCGTTCTCCAAGTGGCTGGGAAAGCTATTACCATGAATGCAAAAGCTGCTTGTTGGAGCCACAGTAATCACTTCTGAATCTTCGTATTATCAAGGATGAAAAAGATTCATTAATTATTCAATTGCTGGCAGTTTTAGAATACAGTCTGAAGCATTTATGTGTACGTCTGTGTCACTGAAACTACCTTCAGAAGGCTGTAGGCAGGACTCTGGATATAAGCCTGTGTTTAAGTTTCTGTGAAGTAAGGTAGTGTGTGGATTTACAGTCTGTCAGCCACTTTGTGTACTATACCATGAACACATTTGTACCATATGGCCAAGCCACAGAATTGCCCAGCTATATGTGAAGGCAGTAATCTATGCAGATGGACACTGCTGAAAAGCTTGGGTCCAAGAACAGGCAGAGGAACTTCATGTTTGGACTCGAGTCTTTTTGAGTTAGAGGTTTAGCAAAGCTACTGAGGAATTTTTTTTTTTTTTTCCTGGCTTCTGATATCAAAATGGGGCTCAGTGCTTTACCATGTTGATTTTGATAGTGGTAATCCTAGAGCTAATGTAAATTTCAAATTATACATTTATGAATTTAATTTAAATTTAATTGGAACTCCTTACTGTGGTTTAATGGTGATGTATAATGCTTGTCTCTCCTGTCCTTGGAGCGGGGAGGGAGCAGGGATCTCTGAATAAAAGTCCCTTTTTTGTCAGAACTTTTTATTTAGGAATACCTATTTTCTTTTCTGGGACTGCCTGAAATTTCCAAAATCCTCCTCTCATGTGTGTCTTAGTGCTTGATGAAGTGATAGCAAGAAAGAGATTTGTAAGTCTTTCACTGTGTTTGTTATCCGAGGCATCCTTCAGTATTTATGTTGCAAAATTTTTAAAGCACGGATAATAGTATTTAGTAACTAAAAGCCTGAAAAACTTATTAACGGACTGTTTATATTTTGTGTTATTCCTCTTTATTGTTTTCCTTTGCATTAATGAGATTGAAACCAATTTAGTGGCATTAGTAAATGCCTGAGCATGTTCTTCAAAATGAGCTTTCAACACTACTGTGGGGAGTCTGGGGGTTATATCTTTAATCTGATGGCACTTCAAGTTGTTTGGCTTACTTTTAACTTCATCATGGGTTGGTGGGTGTTTCTGTAACATATGGCACTGTATGTTATAAGTGGATGTTTACATCTGGTATGCATTGGAAGATTAAGGTAGAGAGGATGAAGTTTTGGGCAAGTATGTGTTTTTTGGATGAAGGATAAAGTGAGAATACTTTTATTTCCTCTTAGATTTGAAACATATCATTCTAGCAATGCCTTTGAAACTCTGCCAGCTTTGCCAACCATAACATTTATGGGATTTTGGACCTAAACTGAATTAGAAAACTGTTTTTAGTGGCAGAGAAAAAGGTTAGTGCATGAAAATAGCTAGGCCTATTATTGACTGCATGTGGTCAGTGGTTTGGCTGAATGTAGGTGGCTCTTTTCCTGTCACTGTTTTCAAGCATATGGCTTTGTTTGTAATGAATATAAAACTCTTTAAAAATGAGTTCTTCTGCAGTTCTTTTGCACAGTAGTCTTTTGCTATTTAGTAGTGATTATTTTGCTTTTGCCATTCATTTTCAATCTTGTAGTAAAAAAAAAAAAGCTTTTTAAGTAAAGCTTATGATTCCTGCTGTCATCAAAACTAGGAGGTTTGAAGAATGTGGTCATCTGTGTGTAGCAGCTTCTTCTGTCAGTAATATTTTATAAAAGGATGTATATACTATGTTGTTGATTCTTTATTGTAGTTAATGCTGGGATTGTTTGCAGCATGGCAGAAACTCCTTTTAAATGTGCACACACATTTTGTTTAATTAGTACTCTTGTGAAAATCCTTAAAACTGAATTATAACTTCATTTTTTTTCCTTTTCATGTTTTCAGTGTTGAAAGCTTCAGATTTGCCATTTCTTTTTCCCATTGTGTAGAAGACAGCTTGAAATTAACCTAGTGTTTTGGTTTCTTCTCTGCCTGTAGTGTACAAGGTGCTAGCTCAGAGCTCAGGGAACAGCAAATTTTCTAGCTCCTGCTGCAGAGAGAGCTTAAGGGCACAACAGGTTCTGTTTAGCTTTAACTTAAACAGTGTTACCCTATTTATATCTTTAAAAAAAAAAATATGCGTGATAGAGCTATAAATTGTGCGGATTGTGGATTGTGTAGATTGTCTGGTGTTTTCAGTGTAGAAAATTCTAATGAATCTTGTTTTAGCAGCAATCAGATGCAAGAGCTGGTTTTGTTCAGCTGAGAGGATGCTGAAAACTGCAGTAAGAATTAGGGGCACCAAGCACTTCATGAGTTGGTTCCATTGCTGTAAAGTATTTAAAAACAAAGCAAAACTGTTTACAGTTTTCCCATGTTTGGGGAAAATAATTTATAGAATTATCCAATTTTTAGAGTAACTGTAAAAGAAGAACTAAATAAACAATGAGATAACATGTAGAGCTGCTTAATGTATTTATCTCTTCAAGCTGTAGTTATTGCAACTATAGGTTAGAACTTACTGTAGTATATTGTTATGTTATATTGTAGGAAGATAACTTACAAGTTATTAAGAAATTTCTTTTCTACTTTAAACTAACTCTTTTGAATTGTATTATGAAGACAGAGTTGTTCTTCCTAAGCATGCTTGGTGAACAACTGTCACTAAGCAAGAAGTGCTGTTCATGTATTTGTAAGTCTCCTTGCAAGAGAATCTTAAGAAGGGTGAATATAAGAATTGCATCCTCAAATGTTTTTAAAAATAAAATTAATTTGAATTTGCATGTGTTTGGGGTCATGCAAAACACTGTTAATAACAGCAAGCTATGTAATGGGTTTTGTTGGTTTGGTTTGGTTTTCTTTTTTCCTAGTTCTGATTTAGGACCAGGAAACTGCTTGATATTTTTGCCAGTACTAATTGTCACAAATCAGGAATGTTCTATCTTGAGAGATCTCATATTTAAACATATTGCCTAACTGGTAACTGTTCCCCATCAGAAAGATTTGAAATATGATGATGGAGATCATTAGTATTAGTTCTGAGCACTGATGGATGGAACAGTATCCTAAGAGAAAAACAGCACAGCTAACTGATGAGCTTTGTTTTCGATTTATGAGAGAGATTTTTTTTGAGGTCTTGTTTGTTAAAATAGTTATATTAATAATTCTCAATGCCTCTTGTTTGGATTGTAGAGGTTGGAGACCTGAGGGAGCTGCAAACGCTGGACATCTCAACCAATCGTTTGATAACGTTACCTGAAAGGCTGCATATGTGCCTTTCTCTGCAGTACTTGACTGCAGACCGAAACCACCTGTGGTATGTGCCCCGCCACCTGTGCCAACTACCAAGCCTCAATGAGCTCTCCATGGCTGGAAACCGCCTTGCGTTTTTGCCACTTGGTGAGTCACCACCATCATTGGGCTGGGGTGGGTTGGAGAAGAGACAGGAAAACAAACTTTCTGTCCCAAAAAGAAAAGAAAAAAAAAAATATGCAACAATAGATCTTCTTTGGTGGTCTCTACAAACTCCATTTATGGAGTTGTCACAGTGATCATATTGTTGGAAAATATGTTAATAAACAAAAAAAAATGCAGGTTAAGGTTTCATGTCTGTTTTAAAGTAATAGGTCAGCTATCAAATTTGCTTTATTTTTAGCTAACCGGGGGGGCGGGGAGGGAGGGGAATTTAAATGATGCTGTGTTTAAATATAGTACCATGTAATCTGAGTTCCACCACTTTGGGTAATGATCTGTTTCTGTTTGGATCTGATGATTTAACTAAGATTCTTCAGCTGGGGTTTAAAAGTTGCTGTGGAATCCCAGTAACTCCACAGAAATTATTTTTCATCATTAGGAATGTCAGCACTGCATAACCTAGTGAAGGTTTAGTTTCTGCTGTGTATAGGCGTCCATCAAAACTTCCATAGTAGTAGCCCAAAAAAGAACTTAGCTGCCTTTTTCTCAACTATTTTCAAGTTTGGGAGTATAGAAGCAGGTCCTCAAGAGTAGGAAGTGCAGTCAGTGTGCGGTGGTTTGTTGTGGGAAGTAGTCAGCTGTGTCGTCATGAAGGGTAGACTGTATATTCTGTTTGGGAAAGGCAAGTCCTCTTCCACATGTTTGTTACTTTTTAGCCCTGCCACGGGCTAATCTCTGCAGAAATACAGACACGTGTAGATGTGTCATGTCATTTGAATAGCCATTAATAGTTTTTCTAGAATACAGAGTTAGGTGTTAATTAGGTGCAGATGAAGTTATGATAATCGCATTGAAAAGAAGCTGAAAATTGAGGTGGCTAAAAATGAGATAATAATTTTAAATTAATTACCTTGTATAGGTTTAACTTAATTTTTCCAGTACTAGCAATTTAGTCTTTAAAGAAGTTTATGGTCTTTCTGATTTTCTTAGCACTTTAGCTTATAGTACTGGAGAATAAGTGCAAATAATGTCTCCGGACATAGTGTTTTAGTTATGTCCCAACATATGTCATTATATAAACGAGAAAATGAGTTCCAGGATGCATCATCCAGATGCCACAGTACGAACTAAAACAAGCAAAGTAACTTCCCCTATTTTGGCAAATATTTCTAACTCTATTTCATGAGACAGGACGTTGAATCTTTTTAATTTTGCAAAAATAAGATGCTGTTCAGCACGATGAGATGTGAATATTAAAGGGTGAAAGTTTTTGCTACTTTTGCACTAGTCGCTTATCTGTGAGGTGAGCTATGACCTGGATGAGCCATAGATCTGCTGAAGTGTTTTAAGTTCAAAAGCAGGAAATAAATCTCTAATATAATGACACACCTTCTTTTTTCTTTATTTTTAGACTCAAATTCAAAACATTCAAAAGGAACTTTTAAAATAATGGGAAACATCAAAGACTGTCAATTGACCTTGTTCAGTAGTTCTTAATAGTGACTCACTGGTGAACATTTGGAGATAATTTGCTATCTGTGGATATGGAACTGAATCATAAATCCTAGAGTTCAGAGGAAAAGCAGCACAGTATAAATGTAAATGTTTAATCCTTCCTCTGAAGAATCAGAAGGCTTCAGAGTGGTCAAGATGTGATGAAATGAAGTAGAAGAGTTAGTGTACTGAAAAGCAAAAAGATTAAATCTATCTGCTGTTGTATGGGAAAATATTTTTCTTGGAATATTACTGAAGTTAAGGCATAATTGTAGCATTATTTCTGCTAACTGTACATGTTGGCTAATGGGGTTTTTTTGTGTGTATTCTTACATCCAACTTCACTTTACTAGTTAATGACTAAGAAGGTTAAATAACAGTGAAAGATACTGTACAAATATCTACAAGTGATATTCAAGCAAGATTTGTCAAACAATTTTTTTCAACTAGAGAGTTGAGTGAGTTGAAAAGCAGACCTTTTATTCATCTCCTGACAGAATGTTGGGGTTTTTATGGTTTTTATTAGACATGTCCATGTTAGAAGAAATAGGTTTGGAACGTATTGCTTAATGCTTTTTAAAGTGTGATTTACTTTATTTCATACGGTGGTTGACATCTTCTATGCCAAAGAATCCATTCTTCATCATCTAAGTATGTCCCTTGTAGCTGCCAGTAGAGACTCTTGTTAAGTGTAATGGAAATCTGCATTTTCCTGTTCCAGCAGTAGCACAGCACTTTCACAGCACTGCTGGATAGGTACTATGCAGTTTTTCGTCCTGTACATTCTTTTAAGTTTATGACCACGTGCATCTTAAGAAAAAGAAAGTATAATGCCATTAATCAATTTTACAAAGTACGATAAAAATACCTGATGCCACTCTCTGACTTCCAGAACTGGTACATAAACAGATGGATAAACAATAGTGAATTAGTCATTTGTTCTGCAGAAAACACTTAATTCTTGTATAGTCAGTATTTTTTTTTAAATAATTATTTTTCAGCTGTTGAATATTCTAGTTTATATTCAAAGAAACAAGACTGAGTGGATCTGAGCCTCTGGGCCTTTCTAATAAATTTATTAAAAAAACCAAGCAAACAAAAAACCCAAATTGTATGTGTAAGTTAAATGGGAAGCTGCATCCTGGACAGCCCTGTTACTGTCATGGTGGTTTTCATGTTGCCCTGATAAATTGTCTTAGGAATTCTGTTCTTGAATGGTAGATGGAACTATTGATCATTTTATATCAATCTACTTATATTGTAAATTATCCTTTGATAGAAATTTAACATTAAAATTTTACCATTAGCAAATGCTCCAATGCCTGAAAACAAATTCCATTGCAAGCAGAAATTTGAATCTGATGACACTGCAAAAATAAAAAAGATTTATGTAATAAAGTACAAATATAATTAAAATAGGCCATAAATTCTCAAGTGTACTGGCAGCACAGGGGATGTTATGACAGCAAATATTCAGTGTTATATCACTTTATTGAGGGTTTATGTGCACTTTTTGTTTAGAAAATGGGTCTAGTAATTATCAGTGCACAGTAAACAAAGGTCTTATTCTACCTCAGTATATGCTGGTTTTGTGTCCTTGCCCTCACAGTATGGTTAAAAGAGCATCAGTGCAGACACACAAGAGCTTTTGTTCCATCTTCAGCCATGTGGAATGCATATGCCAGGGCCCTGAGGTTAAAAAAAAAAAAGGAGAAAAAGAAGGGGGAAAAAAAGGGAAAAGGAAAAAAAAAATAGAATTGGGGTTTGTTCAGGACTCATGGCATTTGGTCATTTCTGGGAGAAAGGTCTTTGATCTGTGAGCCTGGAAGGAGGAAAGTGGAAATGTTTTAGACACAGTACAGTGCTTGCAAAAGCCACATGAAAACCTTCTTTGTAGCTTTAGCCTTTTCATAGATGGGCAGCTTCCTTATTTTACAACGTTCTTCAGAAGTGTGTTTTTTAGAGAACTTTTAACAATATTTGTTGACTGATATAAGACATGAAAATTAATGTGGATGGGATACAAAGAGCTTTTTTAAGTGACGATTTATTTAAATTTCAACTTTATGGATAGTGCTTGAAACTGGAAAAAATCTTTTGGTGACTACAAGATACTTGGTTATTTAATGCAAAGAAACTATATCAAAGGAACATTTATAGTTACAGGCTATTTGGCTTTGGGAATTGAATTTTTCCTACTGAGATATTTTGTCTAACATCCAAAAATTTGCTTTAATTACCTAGGAAATGCAGTCAACTCAGAACTTAGAATCTAAACATAGCATAAGATAAAGACAGAGGGAAGAGATGAGATGCAGCATAACTCCTCCTTCAATGCATATGAAAAGAACAGCTTTAGGGCTTTTTTTTGACTTGCCTGATTTTCAGCCCATTTGCATACATCTGTGTAGAAATGAGCAAGATGAGCCTCTTTAAAAAATTTTCTTCCATTCTCTAAATTAATAAGTTAAACAGTAGCACATTCAAGCTACCCCAGCAACCCATAGTTTTCTGCTCTTCTTAGTATAATTGGTTTCTGCAACATGAAGCGATATTCTCTCAGCATTAGGTGTGCCATGCACATGCTATCTGCTTTTAATTTTATTGGCTGATTTTTTTTCGAGCCTTACAATATTTTATGGTGTTATAGTGCCTTAGTATTGCAATATTTTTATTCATTCTAAGATAACAATGTTTTTTTTTCATCTAAAAATATCCCAGAACTTTACTAAACTATTTTCAGCCCTGCAATACTGAGCTAAAATAAATCATCTTTTTTGAGGTGTTAGCACTGAACAATGCTCAGCAGCATCTCACAGCCGTGCCCATCAGTCAGCAGAGGTATTTGTACTTGTTTCTTGGGACAGGACAGTTGATGGATGCAGTGGATAACTCTGCAAACTAGAATGTCTTTGGGACAGGGTCAAAGAAGATTGGGATGGTTGGAAGTGTCCCCTGATGTCCAGTGACTCCGGTTTGAACAAAGCCCAGATTATGGTCCCTGAAACCTCTGAAGACTGCAGTGTAAAGACTTGTATTAAAAGAAAAAAAAAAAAAAAGAAAAACAAACCAAAACCAAACAACAAACCAAGTTTTCTATGTTAACATTTTTATTTCAGAAAATGAATCTATTTGTTTTCTGTTGCTGTCATAACTTGTTCTTTATATCAGAGATTTGATAATGGGACATCCTCTGAATCTCCACAGCGTGAGCTTTTAAGGTTTCTGGTGCTTACAACTGCCACTTAAGTGGGTGACAGCTGAAGATGTTCAGTATACTTTAACATGGCCAAATGTTTGGGGGAATCACTCAAAACATCGTTTGCTTTATCTGCACTAAGTGGTATCCAGAGCTCTTGTGTACAATAAAAATATTCAATAATAAAGAAGGGATTGTATTACCTATTCTCATAGTAGGGAATGATAAGAGATCATTGTTCCAAGTAGAATTTCTGAATATAAATATCATTGAAATAGCTTTAATTTTTATTCTGTTCTTGGCCATAATTACAAAAGGGACAGAAGCTATGTGAATTTCTCTGGGTATCCTTATCTTTACGCCAACCAAGGTAACTGACAGTTGATAAAGATGGGAAATCAGAATTAGTCGATACTAGTATCGTCTTGCAGCGTGGCTGATTCAGCCAAATGCTTGTTTATCTTGCTTAGTTTCTATAACATACTCATAAAAGTTTAAGAAGAGGCATACAGATTTATTTATTTATTTATAATGCAGTTTGTCTGGGTTGCAGCTATCCCCTCCCAGGCCACGAGGCTTTCAAACATTGTTGCTCGGTTTGTGCTCTGTATTAAACACATACGTCTTTTCCTAAGCCAGTATGGCCTTCAATGGCATAGGAGCTACAGATGAAATGGGCCCAGAAGATCTACATGTCAGTTTTCTTGCCAGTTCAAAACTCTTTTAGACTGTTCTTTTTTTGTTCGCTGTTTGGTTTGTCTTTTTAAATGTCTTTGGCAAGTTTTTTACTTCTTTTGATAGCAGACAGTTTTACCACTGACTAGATCTTGCTGATAAGCAAAATTCTTGTTTCCAAGAATTCTTCCTACAAGCCTAAATTTTCCCTTTTAATTTTCCTCCATTTTCCCACTTTAATTTTTTAAACAAAATAAAATTCTTCTCTGCCTATATGCTCCTATCTGGAGGTATGTTAATATACTTATAGTCCGTGAAGGTATTGCTTAAACATGCTGTACTTGCTTCTTTCAACTGCCACCCATGAATATTTTAACAGAAATAATGTAAGCAGCACGCCTTCAGATGTATTGATCTTCTAGCCACATCTTTAGTTGTATAATATTCTGCAGTCTAATGCTTCTATATTTTCTTGTATTCTGTTATCTACTGCATCACACAGACTTGTTTCTGAATGATTACTGGTTGTATTTGGTTATGGCTAATGTAATCATACAAGTATCTCTTCTTTGAGAAAAGAAAGAGTGGGACGGACCACATTCTTGTGTGTCTTTACCACTTTACCAAAGATAGCGAAGCTGTGATTTCAGTGACACGAGGCCAGTTAATGAAAGCAGGTTTGACCTTATGAACTTCAAGTATGCGCTGTCAATTTGAAATCAATTGTTGCTTTGTATTTTCAAACTGACTTTGGAGTTTGTCAATGTTAAAATTTAATTATTTATAATGGGATTTTCAGGGGTACTGAAAAGGGATTTTGTTTTGGTTTAGTAATTTTAAATGCTATTTTCTAAACAACATTTCAGCTCATCCATAATAAAATCATTGGCTGAAATTTTACAACTAAGAAGTACTAATTTATGTTTGCTTATATTGAGTCCGATTAGCTTATTTATAATTAAAGAAAATTGCTTTGCTTATAATTGTCACTGTGTTATCCCTTCTCCCTCTGACTTTTTTTCTTGTTTTCTAAACCCAGATTTAGGTCGTTCTCGGGAGCTACAGTATGTTTATGTGGATAACAATATTCATCTGAAAGGCCTCCCATCTTATCTGTATAATAAAGTCATTGGTTGCAGTGGGTAGGTATGAATTAATTCAGATGTCTTGCATACCTGTTCCTTGCAAAATTTCTCATAAATATCTGCTTGTATGATACAATCAATTTTTTGTGTGTGATTGATTCAGAACTGATGTTACTTTGAGGGGATTACAGCAGCTCCCAGTTCTGTTTTATTTTTGTAACAAATCTTCTGTGTTAATTGCTAACTTTCAGTATTTTAGTATTAAGCTGTAGCAGAAAGTGAGTGCAGTTATTCTGAAGGAATTTTGAATGATAATGTAAGGCCTAAAGCTGAATCCTAGCTGCATTTAAAGGTTGGCAAAAAACGTAGGCTTCACAGAATTTCCAGAACTAAAGAAGGAACAAAGTATTTTTTAAAGCGTCGCAGCTTCTCTCTAGTTCTTAAGTTCTCATATTTCTGTAAATTATGGGCCGTATCTTGGAATGTCACATGTAGCTCCTTCACTCAGTTTACATCCCAGTATCAGTTTCTTGTAGGTCTTGGTGCCTACTAACTTGTTTTAGGAATTATGGATTGACAGGTATATTTTTACATGTGCATGTTAAAAATACCCTAGGCTGTCTCATGTTTGTGGTTGGGATGTGAGAAAAAAGTGGTCTGTCTAGGACACTGGTTTAATTCTTTCTGCACTGACGCTAGCATAAGTTAGAATCAGCACCACTGATGAATGGAGCCTTACTGGTGTAAAACTGATCAGAATAGGATTGTCCCCATTACCGTCTAATTATAAATTTCTGGTATGCTTGCTCTCAGCAAATCTTGCATTAAATATAAATTCCCTTTCTACAGCCTGCACTCTACTGCAAAATGCGAGATGCTGAGTCTTGGCATTTTAAGGTTTTTCTAATATTCCCGTGTCAGCTGGCTGTGTGATATTTAAATACTTGCAGTTGGATTATAATTCTGCTGAACTGAATTCAGCAGCCTCAAGCTTCTACTAATTGTGTTTTTCAGGAAAAATAATTTCTAGTCTTTGTTCTTTCAGAACTTACTGTAAGTAGTAAGACAAGACATTCAATTGACCCTAATGGTAATAGAACTGTATTGATTGTGACCAAACCCACTAGTGATAAGGCAGGAAATGTTCCAACAAGTTTGGTCCAATTGTCTTGCCTATTTCAGGTGATCTTAAACAACCATGTCTTTATTTGTATTTTTTTGACATTTTAAGTCCTTATTTTATACTCGGTCAAAATAATTTTATCTTTGCACTGGCCTTTTGTGAAGATCTTACCAATTCTTTTTGCGGTCATTACATGTACACTGCTGATGAGGCTAGCTGCTAGTATCTCTGATGGAGGGTATTATAAATCTAGTATAGAAGAGACAAAAAAATTTGCAAGTGTTGCGATGAAATTAATTCTTTTAATACTTCTGTGGAATAAAAAATGATGATAATTTTTCTCCTTGATAATGAAGAATTAAAAAATATCTTTAGTAAGCAAAATAATATTTGTATTTCTGTACCAAACAGGTATTTGTCTTGATGTTGTGAAACCATCTTGAAACATTATAGATTATTTTTAAGGAAAACTTTCAACATAAGAGGAGGACTTATATATGTTATTAAGAAACCAAACGTTTTATTTGATAATATGCTGAGTGATGTAAAAATCGTGGAATAATGGTCATGGGAAGAATTTCTGTGTTCTTTCCAAGAAAGCATTAGTAATCGGTGGAAGGGTTTCATGGGTCAGGCAAGAGTTGAAGATCCAGGCTTTAGTGCTCTGTCTGGTCGTCCACTGGAGAATAAAACCTCACATGCTGCTGTTACTAACATAAAGCTAGATTCCTGAAAATAGAATATAAATTGCATTGTGTAAGTAATGAATCTCTGTCTGGGAATCCTGCAGTCAGACTGACTGAAAAAGTCTTTTATGTAAGAGGTGATGATCTCAGCACTCAAAATAAATTTTGATCTTATTTTTTGCAGATTGGATTTCATAGTCTCCAGCTAGTTATCTGTCAGCCTTGTTGAAGGCAGCCAATAGGTGGTCCCAGATTTTTTTTTCCCCAGTTATTTATTCACCAGGGTTGTTCTGCAGCTCCATTTTTCCAGCTAGATAGACCATCCTCTATTCCACTTTTTAACCTCCCTGGATTTTATGTGGGTTTTTTAAATTCTTTGTTCCCGCACCCAGTATTACTCATAGGTTTAGAATCATTCCCTAATCCATCCTCTTGATGGTCTGTTTTTGTTTACTTTTGTTTTTCAGTGTTGTGGTCAAGCATTAAGAGCCTCACCCTTTATGTAGAGTAGACCAAATGGCCCAGGTCTGAACTGCAGAAACTGTAGCGAGCTTCTGGGTATGTCTTCTAGCTAGGCTAGTAAGGAGTTAATAAGCTTGAAAATACATTATAGGTTTATTTGTTGTGATAGCTGACTCATTGGGTATGGATTGCTGGGGAATGGATTGTTGGAATATTGGATCTCTGAATTCCCAATTATATTTTAACCCCATTAATGGTTTGTGGGAAAGTATTAAATATTTAACAAGAGGCTTATTGACTTGCTGTTTGATGCTGCTCTTTTTTGCCTGTTTCTCTGGGCTGTTTTTCCTTTAATCAGAAGAAATGAGATTCTTTGTTATCAGAAGTACTATGAGATTTCTTTCGCATCTGATAAGGTTGAGTGTAGTTACCTCAGTTTTAGGTCCAATATCTGGGAAGGCTGACAAATTTGTGTTTCTGTTCCATTTGTTAGGACTGGCCCTAACAAGTTGCTCTTGGCTTCAAATTTAAGTTGTCATAAACAATTCTGATTCCCCTGTTGACTTTCCTAACCTCTTAGTAGAATTTTCCTATGCGTGTCTCTTTGGTATGATAGCTTGCAACAGGGATCATGTAAAGAGTTATTATTTTTACTACAAGCTAAGTTTCTCTCCTTGAATCCAAATAACCTTCCTTTTCCTTGTGTGATTTGGGAAGGACAAGGCTAGTAGACTTATTTTTCCTACTACAGCTTAGGCTGTTCTTTTTATTTTTTCCTTCACCCACCCCCCCATACCCTCCAAGGGAACTCTGTGGATGGGGAAAAGCATAGTACAGAATCACCCAGTGGTTGTAGCTTGCCTCCCATACTATAGTTGAGAAATCCACTACCATTCTCAACTAGTTGATCCAAGACACACAGGAAGCCAACTGTTAGGTGTGAAACTGCTCCTCTATGTATAACGTTTAGTAATAATGGCATTCAGAGGTTAAAAGAGATTAGCACGTTGGCAAACTAAGGGATGTTTAGTGCACATTGTTCACCTCCTTGGGATTGTGTTCTCATTTCTCCAGCTTTTGAATGCTAGTTGATAAGAGATCCAGATGTCCCATGACTAGCATGTCACAGAAGGTGGGATCTATAGAAAATGTATGTCAACAGGTATTGTACTCTGCAAGGAATCTTTGAAGGGTGCTGCACTGAAGAACAGTATCAGGCATACATTGGGTTGGTCATATGGGCTTCCCCATAAAGTGGCACTTTTTTTTTTTCCTAACCACTTTCTAAATGTCTTGTGTCCTTCTAGCTGTGGCTCTCCAATTCAAGTTTCAGAGGTGAAACTGCTCTCTTTTTCATCGGGCCCGTTAACTGTGTTCCTGCCAGCAGAGGTGAAATCTATAGGGACAGAAACAGATCATGTGCTGCCTTTGCAAGAATTGGCCATGAGGACCCTCTATAACACCTACTACAGGTTTTTAAAAGGTATGAAATTTCTGTATTTTTCAGATTACAGAAAGAGTGAAAGTGCTTTTCTGGCAGTGATAGGAACATTTCAAATAGCTCTTCAAAGAGCTGGGCAAGGAATAATATTTTAAAAAATTTATTTAATCAAATTGTGTTTGAAATGCTGTATTAGAACAAAAATGTCTGATACAAAAAACCCAGAGATCCAAAGACTATTTCTAAGGTCGAGTGGTGCTTACAAATGGTTTCTTTCTTGAGGACTGTATAAAGAAGGATGGTTTTTTGCAGGAGAAACTTTAATGGAAATAGGAGATGAGAAATACAGTTCCTGAGGCAAGATTAGATGCATCAGCCAACAATGCAACTTCTTGCCAGGCAGCACAGTCCTAAACTGGCAGACTTGTTATACATAAGGCAAAAGAAATGCTAGTAGCCCTTGGCCATTTCAGTATGGCATGACAGCTGAGCTGTTTTAGTTCTGCCCCAATTCAGACTCTTTGCTGTAAAGTGGCCCTTGGCTCATCTGGTTATGCATCATGCAGTCACATGAGTTAGCAATATCTGATGATAACCTGCAAATTCAGATTTAGATGTACTATGAATCTCCCCTGTTCATCGCCTTTGGAGGTGAAACTAGAAAGCAGAAAGGCAGGGAGTCACAATGGGAAGGTTAGAGGGTTATGGTAAAGGGTCACTTGTATCATGGCCACAGGAGGAAATCATAACTGCTGAACTACTGTTTTGCCAGGAAAAGTGTACGAGAAGGTCTGCAGCAAATACACTGACGGGAAGAAGCTCCATGAGTGGGATAAACACAGAAGTCTGTGTTCATAGGAAACCGTTTTGTGGAGAATGGATTTAGTGACACAGAGAACATACTAATTGACCAGTTTGCATTTTTCTATTTTTGATATTTCTGCATATGAGGGAAGAGGGGAGGTATTTATTTGTTTACTATCAGGATATCAGCTGTACCAAAATTACACAACGATGGATGCTGTTTCATTTTGATTTGCAAAATTCTAGTCTTTGAAAAGGAGTTTGAGAATGTCAGATACAAGATCTTTTAAATCTGTCACTGCTTTTCTCACCCAGTTGTGACTTGCACGTTAATTTCTGGAATATGACTGGGTGAATGTGGTTCCTGAAGATGCTGGTGAAATTTGGTTTGGGAATAGCAAGATAGCATTGCAAAATCAGTTTAAGAAATGGTTTGTAGATGGTCTCTACAAGGCTGTGAGGATTATATGTGGTTGCAGCCAAGGTGCAGAATGTTAAAAAAAAAAAAAAAGTTTCGCTATCTTTTTCATTACTTGCCTACTTCTAGTTTGCTATACTGTACTGTGTAGTCTTTTTATATATTTAGATACACACATATATATCTTATTCTGAGTGACCTTATTAAAGACTATGCACATTGCCACTGGTGACACCCACATTTCTATGAGGCAGGAGTAATGCATAGTTCAGACAGGTGTAAGATAATGGTGTGTTGGGGAAGCAGGTGGCACATATGATTAAAATAGCAGATTTGATCTATCACTGCCTAAATTTGTAGTTTCAAGGGTGCTGTTAAATATTTGGCTGCTGCTAGGTAAGTATGACAGAAGCAACTCGGCTACTTTTCCTCAGTCTTTGCTCAGCTACAGAATGTGACCTTTTCTTTCTGACGCAAATGTACTATTCGTCATGCTTGTCGTCTCAATTAAGGCTGTCGTGGTACATTGTGTTTGGGGTTAAACCTTACAGTGTTTGAAAGCTGAAACTAGTGTGATATCGCAAAACTGATTTATCAGGTACTGCATCTTGTCTTGATTACTCAGCACCTAAACTCATTCACCTGTCTTGGCTGTCTCTCATTTTCTAGATGGAGATTAGCATGCTGGTTTTAATTTATAAAACACTAAGTGGCATGGGCCAAGCCTGAGAAAATGATTGCTCTTTCCTATGAAATGACTCTGGAGTCCTTTTTGGTGAAAATGATGGCATCTTGTAAACTGTGGGGGCACACTTAAGAGATTATGAATGTATTGATCTTTTTAGAGTGGTCTCTTGGGTTGGACCTGTGAGAATTATGCTGAGCTGGACTGTATTTCAAGTTATTCTAAATATTTCAGATCCCTTTTTGCTGATGGTGGAGTTTGGGCTTTTCAGTGAGCTTAGCTATCCTGCTGGATTGGTTGCTGAAATATTTTAGTAAAATATTGCTGATGTCCTTTTCAGATTTTTGTATTATTATTAATTACTGAACACCTGTCTAGATCATCTTTGTGTCTAAAAATGCTTTATGATATATTACTGGGTTTTATTATTTGCTTGAGCTATAATATTTTCATCTGGGTATTTGGGCCCAGTTAATTTTATACCCACAAATGCTAAACTTACATATTTAACTAACTTTTTGAGCTTATACATGGAAAGCACCATGTGCTTCACCCTAATTGTGGTAATTTGTCTTACCTTGCTGTTCTTTTGACAAAGTCTTAAGAATGTGAGACAGCTCATTTTCTGAATTGTTCATGGATCATGCTTGTTGCGTTTTACTTTATCATGCAATTGTTTTGTTACAAGCCTTTTTTGCTTCTTTTCTTCTCTAGATTTGAACTTTCTGACTCCAATCTCACTACCCAAAAGCCTCTTGGAATTGCTACATTGTCCCTTGGGACACTGCCACCGCTGCAGCCAGCCTATGTTTACCATTGTCTACCCAAAGCAAAGAGGGAAACTCCAATGGCAGGATTGCATCAAGGGTAATTATACAGGAAATTACACTGGGATTTCATTTAGGAAGAAAAACACCTTATGGAACAAAGCATAGTCTGAAGTTCTTGGGGGTTTTGTTTGTTTGTTTTTTTTAACTTAGCAACCTTTCAGATCTAAAGCCCCTGTCCTATGACTGCACATAAAAGCTGTCAAATCTTTATTTACAAGATGACCAGCATACTGCTGTAGAATGTTTAACAAGAGCTATCACACTTGCCTGTTTCAGACTGCTGTAAGATAGTGAAGGGTTTTGATCCGATAGGATTGATATGTTTGTGGTAGTGCGGCACTTGCATGGCGCATCTGTGCCTCGGGAAGGAAATACTACCTAAGACCAATACTTCCTCTGATGGTCTCAACCTCGACTTCAGGAGAATGTCACCACCAAATAAAAGTGCTGTAGAATTAAAGGCAGAAAAAACCGTCTAAAGCCAGAGCTTAATTAAAATGTTCTGCAGTAAAATACTCTTGTTTTTCTTTCCATACTAATTAACTTGAGATAGGATTGGAAACGTTCTGCATTGTAACATACATTTTATAGCAATACATCTTTTTTAAAAACATTTCAGTTTTTATAGCTGTAGCAGTTGTGAGTGTGTCTGCAGGATCCCCAAGTCAAGCAGACAAGCCTACACAGACTTCCTGACTTGCTGGACAATACAGTCATAGAAAGGACTCAAAACTGGGATATGGTTCAGGGAATATTGCCCTCCTGTAGATAAAGATTTATAATTGGTGATTCAGGTACATGGTACCTATTTTCCACAGCTGTATCACAGGTTATTTTGCTGTGAGTTTGTCACGTAATAGGTATCTGATTTGCAAGCAATTCAACTTTATGAAATGAAAACAACTTAGGTATGCTAAATCCGGACAGCAGCCAAAAGGCTGCATAAATCCTATTTTAGAAAAGTCATCTTTCTTCAAAAGATCTGATTGTAGCGATTGCATACTTCAACTGCCATTCTGTTACACTTCAGTCGTATGTTGAAATTCAATGGATTTCATGTTGAGTAAAATAAATTGCTTCCACATTATAGTCATTATATTCAGGGTGGCATAAGATCTTATTATCCTACTATAAAGAATTTCTTTCAAGCATTGAGCTCCATTAGAATTGTATCATTTTCTAAGTGATGGAAAACTGCTTGCTGGTCACTAAATCCTTGTATTTGAAATAATCCAACAACAGGAGACTTTGAACTAGAGTAGAGCACCCTACTTTCTAATTAATTGTTATGCATTGCTCATTATAGAACTTAAAGTTATGAGATGATAGACATATCAGTAAACATGTTTAAGAATTATTAAAGTTACGACTCAACAAAACCACACTTTAAGGCAATTTTGGAAGAACAATATATTAACATTCTAAAAGATATTAATTGAAAATATTTATTTCTGCATGGTTTTCACTTGTTTAAAAAATGGTTATCATTCCTTCCTTAGACAAGAATGTACTGTGTTCTGCAAAATGCCATGATGAATACAGTCTTAAGTAGCTGACATTTGATGCAAATCCACAGAAAATGAGATCTAAACAGGGTAGCCTGTCATCTTTATCTCTGTAGCTTGTGCACTTCACATGGTAAGATTATGTGGAATTGTAGAGGTGTGATAGCTGGTTTAGAAAGACGTGAAGGACAGGGTTTCTGTTCTAAAGAGCTTACAGTGACCATGAAAACACACAGAGTAAGGATCCTGAATGTTTGAACAGCGCTGATTAGTACATGCCACATCCATGCCAGTAACTTCTGTCTGGATTTCCCTATCACATTCTGTATCCTCTTATAGGAAAGGATAGTTAAGTGCTGAACTGGATTTCTGTATCTGAAAAAGCACAGATGACATGAGCATTGGGTAAAGTGTGATTTCTGGGTTAGCAAAAAACATCTTAACACTTTTAAAGCAGATATCTAGGTCCCTGCCAGGATGGGGGCAGGAGGAGGGTCACAGTGTGGCTAGTGTCGTGCTTTCATGTTGCCACCCCTGCTGTAGTACCTAGCACAATGCAACAGCACTGCCTGCCGATTGTCCTTTCTGAAGTTCAGGGCCCAGTTTGTTCACTCGGCTGAACCAGAGGATGACACTGGACTTTAGTTATTTCATGCCTACAAGCAGTAATTGAAGAAACACACGAGCAAAGCTGAAGCAAAAATTACCCAGCTATTTTCCTTTTAGCTGTAAAACCTACTGGCTATAACACTCAGCCACACCCTCTGCAGAAAGAAAAACCACATGCTGCTTCTTTAAACTGAATACATGAGAACCCAGGAAGGTTTTTGAGAACCCCTGTAGTGTTTCCCTGCCTTTGTATCAGGCACTCATATAGAGCAAATGAACCTTCTTTTTCTGAAGTGTTGAGATCAGCTAATCCTGTATTTTACAAATCACCATATTGTCTGCTGTGGAATGGGGCCAGGAGCTTTAATCTTTACTGACAACTGTTCCCCCACCTCTTTTTTTCTTTTTTTTTCTAGGAGGACAACTGTTAGTTTTGTGGCATACTGCTGCTCCACCCAGTGTCTGCAGACTTTTGACCTACTGAGTTGATAAACATTTAAAACTACTCAGGAGAGCTGCCAGTTTAAAGCTGCATTAGACGTCGTATCCCATTGGTACTCGAACACTGTGTGTGTGCACTTGTGCCAAAGCAGCAGAAGTGCCCAGTCGGGAACACTAAGAGGCACTTAAATCCTGCCCTATCAAATTTGGATGAACTGCAGAAACTTTTCGGAAGTGTAAATACCAAGCTTTTAAAAGTATTAACTTCTGTCTCCTCCAAGGCAGCATACAAACCAAACAAATTCACAAGCTCTGACTTAAGGATTTCCAGTATTTTTCAAATGTGGCTGTCTTCAGGTTGACCCATTGCATCATTTGAGGCAGTTTTCATTCTTCTAACAGGCCCGGGGGGGTGGGGGGAGGAAAGGTCCAGTTATGATAAACCAGTTTTCACTTACTCCCCCTGCTCATCCTTGTCACCCCTACAGATGGATTCAGGTGTATAAATCTAAGCCTACCAAAACCTTTGAAGGATCCCAGTGACTTTCCCATAGAATTTAGCTTCATTTACTCCCTCTCATAATGTTTTTTCCTGGCAGAGTTATCCCAGTTGTATACCAGCTCTTTGATAGTTAACTGTGCTATTTAAATCCACGTATTAAAAGCAGATCTTTCTTTCTGGTATCATTAGAAGCCACACTGATTTAATTGGAGTAACTAGGTCGCGTCTGGAGACTAAAGATCCTGTTTCAGTAAGGAAGGCCGGTACTGATGTCTACAGCGAGTGGTCTTGCTCCAGCATGTTTGAGGGTGTGTTTTCTTTATTCTCCTTGCTCAAGTTTTTTATTTTTAAAATCACTCCCCCCTTTTCCTTCTTTGAGTTCTTCAGGAAGAAGATGACATTAAGTACAAATTTCACTTGAAAAAACCCTAGTAATATGATAGTAAATATTTATCTGTATTTATTGTATTTTTACAATTGCAGACTGTAGATCTGCAAAGAGTTGGTCTTCATCTTTTTCTAGATTCAGCAGTTGGCTGATTTGTGAAAGTGTGTCAGTGGAGTGTGTTAACCTCAGAGAAGGCTGGAAATCTCGGGGGGGAGGTATGTGTATCTCCATGCATAGGTATATATGTATACATACGAATCGTTACAGAAGGGCTGTAACATTTGTTTTTGTTTATTAATGGCAGATTTAGGGCAAATTTCCACTCACTGTTGTATTTGTGGGAATCCTTTTTTTTTTTTTTTTTTTTAGATCTTGTTCATTTTAAATAAAGGACAAAGGATGGAAAAAAGGCCCAAAATGTCTGCATGACTTAAAATTTTAATTTTACACTGAAACAGTTTACACAAAATTAGCCCCTCTTGATTTGTTTTGGAAAATATATATATATTAATACAATGTCTTTTGGGGTTTTTACTTTCTATTTCTTAGGTATAAGCTACTTGTTGATTTAGCACAGTGTGCTACTCTGTGCAGTAGGTAGTTACAAGCTGAAATAGATATGAATGAAACAGTTTGTTATAAAAATGGCAAGATAAAGAGACTTACTTGGTAGTATATTAGCATATGTTGTGGTGAGGTGTGCATACTTTGAAGGGAGGAGGCATTAAAATATTTTCCTTTTGCCAAAGAAGCATTTGTTCCCGCTGCAGGCTTCCTGGCATCCCTTCAATAAATAGAGTATCTTAAGAGCTTAAGAGAGTACCAAAAAGGCAGTTTTTGAGGGTAGAATTTTTAGGTTGTGCATGTTATTTGTAAAAGCTTTGCTGGTTTTATTGGGTTGGTTTTAGAGAGTTGAATTAGCATTAAGAAATGTAGAACTTAATCCTTCAGGAATGCAAGTATCATCTACTGTTTAAGAATTGTGAAACTTTCTAAAATAAATCCCATTTATTAAATCTGCTTTGCAGTAGGGGAAAGAGCCATGTCCAAGCAGACTTTGTACCATTGGATTTCTGACTCTGTCATTTCACTAATTTGTTTCAATGTTGGTATCCCCAACAGGCCTTCCCACCCAGCGGGGTTTAATGCTGAAGCAGCAAAATGAATCTTCAGCTTTTTTCTTTTTCTTCAGTACTACACAGTTGAGATGTAGATTGCTAGTGTACGATTACGCTGACATCAGAAATGTGCAAGTGTAGTACAGAATCCATTTTTTAATGGATAAGAAATATTACAAGTAATATTTGAAATATTAATTTTTGAGACAATACTCTGATCAGGAATTTTCAGTATTATTTTTAGTGGTGGCTTCCTCTGTCTTGGAAGGAGATGTTTTGTTGGAAGTTTTTGTCCTCTTTTTATAGCAACTTACAGATCTTAAAACACAGTTTATTTCTGAATTGAATCTGTAAAAGTTATTTTTGGAGTTAAATCTTTTGATCAGCTAAAATGCATAGACATTTGTTTTATTAGGAGTCAGACGGTAAGAGTGGAGCTTGATTTTTTTGGTATTATTGTTTATTTTTTATCTTTTTTCTTCTTCCCATAATCTAATTTTTTGAGTTCATATCAGTCTCTTCATTATTGTCTACAAGTGCAGTTCAGGAGAAATTTAGTGTGTTCTATAAGCAGGATGAATCTTAACTAACATTTCAATAGATGATATTTCAAGACTGGAATGTTCAATGAATAAATGACTTAAATATGCAATTGAAGCTGAAATGTCATACCCTATTTTTATAAAACAAGGAAGAGGAAAACCAATATATAGACTGAAAATGCAGCTTAAATTCATGTTTTTCTGGGTGTGGGGTTTTTTTTATACGAACAGTATTTGTATTCATCTGTATCTTCGGGTGATACTGTTCTAGATTAAAATAACTCCATTCTTGCTTGTCCAAATTTTTCTAAAGTTGGTCTACTGTAAGAGTATTTCATAACTAGCTAACATGAGAGCCAGCTATGCAAGTTGCAGAGGGGAGAGAGACCTTGTTGCTGATTGATCTATGCATTACTTGTTTTTCAATATGAGGTGTCACAATACTTGGACTTCTCTTTAATGCATATATTTCTAGGTAGTTTTTGATTGTTTGCTCGTTTGTCAGGTTAGTTCACATTGAGATAAATTTTTCATTGTAGTGCAAAAAAGTCTGGTTCCAGCAGTTAAAAAAAAATCACCACTTTTAAAGAGTTTTTTTGCTTATAAAAATAGATCTTAACTCTAAACTTAAGGTGGGAGCAGAAGTTGTTTCTGATTTTATTTTTTTTTTCTAGGCAGTATAAAGAGAGACGTGCAGGAGATAAATGAGAGAAAATAAGTCTTTAACTCATTGATACTGCTATAATTTTTTTCTGAGTAAAGATTAACCCCTAATGCAATTAGGGAGCACGGCATCATTTTTGTATGTTATGGTAACAGGCGCCATGTTAATAAAATTGGGACCCTACTACTTACAGAGACAACTTTTTGTTCTGCCACAAAGGAAAGAGGAGGATCTCTGGCTTTGTTTAAAAATACTACTTGAGCAGTTTTACTGTGGACATTTACATTTGGAGCACTCTTCTTGGGAACCTTCCTGTTACTCCCCTGGAGGATCAGAAATACAAATAGCTTTTCCTGTGCGAAGAACAAGGTCTAATATCAAGTGCATATTTTTCTGTTTTGGCCTGATGCTTCTCTTGGGCTCTTACTGATGTTCATTACAAACCTTCTATTTACTTCGTTGCGGTGAGGTTAAGATCTTAGACTGAGCAGAGTGGAGCTGTTTATTGCCAAGTTGGCTTCAATTCTTATATATCGAATTCTGCTGAATCCCTTTTTCTGGCATGAAGGGAGGACGAGACTGTTGTAACACCCGTGTGGTAACAGCGTGTCAGGTTCTACTGGCATCACAGCCAAGTTGAAGACTGGAGAGTGACAAACCTTTCACTAGAGAGGATGACTTTTTTTTTTTTTTTTGAAGGCTACTGCGGCCCCATCAGAATACTGCTGATAACAGAAGAACTTTTGCCTTTATATCAGTGGAGGATGGATCAAGTTTTAATTGATAAGAGAAGAATGTGTTTTACCATCTTTGTATTTCTTGCAAAAACTGGGACAATGACACTGAAATCCATGCCTGCTGCTAGGCAGCCTGTCTATCTGCAGCTCAACTTAGATAATTCCAAGATGTAACTATCTTTGCCTCTTACTTCCCTCTGAATACTACTCATGTTGTTGCAAAATGTTATAGTTAACTTGTGATGGAAGAGGCGGAGTAAATTGAATCCAGAGTTTTTATTACTTTTTGTATTACAGACCTATTTTGTAAGAGACCAAAGGTCTGTGGAAAGAAATGGCAAGGTTCACGTGAAGTCTTCGTTGCTTTTGCTTTCATGTGCCCTTCTTTGGATTACAATTTGAACTTGGATTGCAACTGAGGTTGTTTTGTGTCTGTTGAAAGCATATGTGTATTGCTTTTTTGCTCTGTATTAACCAAATGTCACTTAGTGTGAAGGTGAGCTTGCTAGATGTTTTATTTATAGTGGTGCAATTTGTTGTATGTGCTTGTTAATAAACTATATTTTTGGATAGAATTACAGTCCATTCAAGTTAACTGAATTCTTGCCTCTGGGGCTATTAAGCTATGTTAGGATGTAGCATTTAATTTACATTTCCATTCATTTGCATAGTAATTAGCTAATAAGTCTCTTGTCCAAGGCTGAAGAGGTGGGGCGAAGACACGTAAAACTCTATCAAGCCCAAAACACCACTTCAATTCACGTAATCCCTTTGTCTCAGACAATGTAGTTCACCAGATCTTGCATAACAGGAACAAAACCCATATGGAAACATTACTTTTAGACCCTTCTATGGATTGATCAAAAGAAAAAGAACTTTCAATAGGGCTGTATTAAGCGCCACCCTGATAGTCCATAGATGTGGCTGTGATTCATTTATTATTTACTGAGCAGCATTCAGCAGCTTTTTTCCCCTCACCTAAACAGATACCGTAGGAACAAGGTTGCCAAAAGTAAGTAGAAATTAAGCATTTATTTCTCCACTTATTTCACTCCTTGCTGTGCAGCATTTTGCTTCAGTCAAAGCTGTATCTGCTCTGATGAGTTCTTGGAGTTGGATGCTGTTTGAATTATTGTACATGTATTGGGTGAATACTAGCATATCCGTTCTTAATCGAGACCTGTGTTGATGAAGGTGACTCTGAACATCAGTTACAATGGATGCCTTGAAGGGTTTAGATACTGTTCAGACTTCCCTGATGCTTGTTTGCTAGTAAGTTTAGAGTGACTTGCCTTTTTAGTATTTTACAAATGACAACATAAATTTTTGTACCCTTGCATTGTAGGTAACCTCTGTTTGCGCGGCAGCAGGAGGAGGGTGCAAGTCCCTTAATACGTGAGATGAGGGGGGAGAACAA